TAACCTATACTACTATACACTCACACAACGTTCCTGGTTTTAGCGCGACTACGTCGCGCAGCTAGCCTAGTTTTTTATTTGCGTATTTATACGTTGTGACGGTGAAATGTGACCTAGCCGCAGTTATGGAAAACGTGATTCAAGCCACATGACTAATTCGGGTTTGGCTTGAGGCGATGCTCCATTGAGAACAATAGTAAGGCGCCGCTGGTATTCACATGGTGGGAACTAAAGTCATTGTCATGTAAATGAGTATGAATTGCTTATCGTTAGCCGATACTATATTACTTATAATGATCTTAATGGTAGTAGCAAAGCCCCAATATTGTTTATAATGTATAAAAGTTCCTTGGTTTCATGTAACTAAAAGGGGCAGATAGATAATAGGTAAATAGGAATCATAATTAAATAAAGACCATCTAACTCAGGGATCCTAGTGGCAGTAGGATCCTTGGTTCTCGGACCAAATCTTTCACGCCTTTCGAATAGTCTTCATTTTTGGTTGTTTTTTTGACGGTGAAACATATCTTTTAGATGTAGTACCATTTTTCACTGTCATAACGTATAACAATAGGGTGTTTTATGCAAGCCTTGATCATTAATCAATTTATTTATAATTAACTGTAAACCTTATAAAATTTAAATTGCAATAACACTTGAACAAGCAAATCCACACAAATAAAATTATACTTGTCGGGTTCATTTTAGTATGCTCTATAAAGTAACATCTTTTTTTATTTATTTTGATTGTTTGGAGCATATCGGCAAACATGCAAAATAGTTGTTTTTGATATTTTTTTTAATAATATCAAAAAAAGCAAATTTAAAATTTTTGGTCTATATTGTATTATGCAATAGTGACCGACAAAAACATTCAAAGTTACTTTTATGATTTTTTTTATTAAAAATCCATCAAAAACGACATTTGCATAGAAACTGAGTCCTCCGTTATTCTCCAAACAATAAAAACAAACACAAAAAAAGGGCATTTTTAATTTAAAGAGCACGTTAAAATAAACCCAACATAAATAAATTTATTTATATGGGATTGCTTGTTCAAGAGTTATTGCAATTTAAATTTGATGTTTTGACTATTTACACTACTGCTAATAAAAAAAATTAATGACACCACCTGCACTATATTTGTAGTTAGGCTTGCATAAAAACACAAGTAACTCACCACGCCTGTTAATGAGTCACGAGAATTCTCAAAATCTAAATTAATTTACGTAATTGTTATCTGTACGTATCGATATACGGTATATTTATTAATGTTTAGAGTATCGTAATCCCTTACACTGTTCAACATAATCTAATGGTTTATCATGAAAATTTGCAACCAAATTTGTTTGAGAGACGTGTAAGGGGTAATAGAGTAATAGATATTTTGATTTAAATCACAAAAATATTATAAATTAAATTGTGAATCAGGAAAATTTTCGCAAATCCACTGTACAATAACAGCAATATTAGCATCAATTGTGGAATAACGATATGTGTAATAGAAACACTAATGTATGATAATTAAAAGTTACTTATTTTGGTAACAAATAGATTTGTTATTTTTATTTATTTATATAAAGCTAGTTATTTACAATTTTGTATAATAATATTTATTCTTTCTTCTGGTGAAAGCTAGTTTCTTATATAATTCTTTTCTATTTCTTCCCATGGTTCTTATAATAAAAAAATGAACCAATTTTCAAATGAAATTACAAAATATGAAGTAATGATTATAAGATAACAGAATAATGAAGTAATAGTATATAAAAAATGTAGCAATCAGTGCAGAGTAATCGAACAATCATCAAATGCAGTTATTGATTCTGGGATCATTAGTAGTTTGTTTAAATTTTTGAAAAACAAAGGAATCGTTTTTAATATTATAAGAAACGAAAAAAAACATATTGTAATACACAAAGAATTTATTTTACTGTATATATCTAGAGGATAGATGATATATACAATATGAAATAAAAATAATATTATATTAATAAACCCGAATCTACTATACAATCTGTAATTCATAAACCCAAACTTATTTTATTTATATTGACAGACCTAAACACACTACAGAAACCAAATAAACTAAAGCACTAAACCCAGGTCGTCTATTATTAAAAGCTTATACCTGTCTAAAGTAAATAGCTAATAATAAAGTTTATTAAAATCTAACATGGTAAAGCAGTTTTAGACAAAAATGTTCCCAGTTACCTTTAATCTTAGTATACGTTTGATAGTCCAATAGGCTATTGTATATTTTGTCTTCTGAGTAAAATTCCTAAGAATATTGGTTAATTTTTGATTATTTTGAACAATAAATATAGCTGATTGTTCGAAGCGATAAATGGCATTTATGGTGATTTTTATTAATAAAAAGTTATATTCTCAAAAAGTATTTTAAACTGTATAAACTAGTTACAGAACAATTTATTTACATAAGAATATTATTCTATAGGATTGAACGTATACTATTCAATTTCTCAAAAAAGTTTCCCAAAGTCTTACTTCTTCCAGTGATTTTTTAACTGCTGATGTGGTAAATACTGGTACACCTGAGAAAACCCTGATTAGAAGTAGAATGATTTATTGTGCTTTCTCCTGACTCACAACTAAAAACAAAAATGTAATGAGTAAAATATATATACAAAATATATATAAATAATCATACTTGGTGTTTTTACTCACTTTCAGAATAGATCACCCTCTTTTTACTTGTGTAAGTCTGAGAGTATTATCATCATTGCTCACTTTTTTCTAGCAACAGATACAGATAATTCAACCTCCAAATCATTATTTGCAATATCGGTCTTTATTAAAATATAATTGTAGTTAAAATTAGGATTATATATTAACAACTTTGATTAAAGAATTTAAAGACATTTTTTTAAACTAAAAAACAATTTGATTAACAACTTAATTTCTTGATTCTCTAACAAAATATTATTGATAAAACCATAGCTTGGCAAAAAAATATTATCTATATTCTATTTTATTTGTAAAAAATAGCTTGTCTCTTGACTTTTTAAAAGCCCTTTGGTAACACTTTTGAATATTCTCAGAGTACAATAGTATTCATTTATAGCATCTAAAGCACTATAAATTTTTTTGCATATATATTTTGCTTTGTTGTATGTTTAATTATCCAAGATATATAATCATTTTTCTGACTAGTTGTTAGGTGGCTTAACTAGTAAATACATAGTTTGTACCACCTACTAAAAATTTTAAGAGATTGAAGGTCTGCAAAAAAAGAAAATTTTCAAATTTAACTTAATCAAATTTCATACAAATAACTCAACAATTTACTAATATACAAATAGATTTGTTTGAAGTGGCTATAATGACAATTTACGAAAAATTGTATCTGGTATTTTTTAGTAAAGTTGAAAATTTGATATGTAATATTCTTATTTGATAAATGCTATCAAAATATGTACCAAGTAGTACTCTGTAAAATCAAATTTTGAATTTGATTTAAATATTTGAAATTATTTGAACCAAATTAATTAAAATTTGATCAAATAATTTTAAATATTTGAATATTTAATCAAATTCAAATTTTGATTTGATTTTGCAGAGTACTAGTGCCAAGTTCATAGGATTTATCATTAGCTATATTTTATGTAATTGTCTGCTTATACAAATACAAAATTTATTTATCAGACAATGTGGGTAAATGTATTTAAAAAATTTTACAATCACGTAATATCTGACAAAATTCTTTAATTTTGTTTATAGTGATTTACTAAGTACTAAGTGAACATTGGTTTTAAAAACTTTTTGATCATATCTCTTAAGGGTAGGGTATTTTATGTGATCTACATTATAGTAGAATAATGGCATAGCTGCAAGATATAGATTATTAGTACAACAAACCTAAAAATAGTAACTTATTATATATCAGCCAATCAAATTATTACATTTACTAGAATGAAAATTAAATATCTTTGAATTTTTTTTTTATTTTAAACATTTTTACCAATATAATAATAAATAAATATATTAATAAAATGCTTTTTATACTTATTATACACATTACAATTAAAAATTTAGCTTTTTACAACTACTCTAAATAAACCATTACCCATGTTTTAATATATAACATAATCTATAAATAGATTTATTAATAAACACTTTTTTTTATGAAAAGTCTCTAGCAAACTTCTAACATTTTCTAACCATTATAATGTTTCGCAATATAATTAATCATTAACAAGTAATTGAAATCATTATTTATTAAATTTTTTTAAAAAAATTATTATTTAATAAAGTTTGCTTGTAATGCATATTTTTGAAGCCCAATACATAAAGTTAACTTTGTCTTACTTCTAAATAAACCTCTTTTTAAAACAACTTACTAATAAAAAATAACTTACTGTTGAATACACAAGCCTTTGAACAATAAAAAAACATTGTTTTTGATGATATTAAACTATTAATAAAAAATTTAAAGATCACAAGTTTGTGTGATCTTTTATAAGGGCTGAGTTCCATGATCTGCACAAAATTATATATGTATAATATGACATAAAATACCCTACCCTTAAATTGTAACACAGGCAAATTTGTTTGCGTTTATTTTTTTAAACTTTAATTTTTTAATAAAATCTTAAATATTAATTTTAGCAATATACTTTCTAAGTAAAATATATTT